TCATATTTTTGGCAATTGCAATATTCCATGGTCATATGATCACCTTTTGTGTCCTTCTGTGAAGCAAATTCAATGGGAAATCCAGATTCACTTAACTTTGTTACTAATTTAATAACTGGTGATTCACTTAACTGTGACAAGAAAAACAAAGTCAACAAAAATGAAATGCACAAGTACAATATAGGTTGTACCTTACTCAATAGTAGTAACTGTGAGAGGGATCTTGGAATCCTAATATGAACCAGCAGTATGCAACAGCTGCCAAAAAACCCAACACAGTTGTAGGCTATATAAATAGAGGGATAGAATCAAGATCACGTGAAGTGTTAATACCACTTTATAATGCCTTGGTAAGGCCACATTTCGAATACTGCATTCAGTTTTGGTCTCCACGATATAGAAAAGATGTGGAGTCTCTAGAAAGAGTGCAGAAAAGAGCAACAAAGATGATTAGGGGACTGAAGACTAAAACACACGAGGAAGGGTTGCAGGAACTGGGTATGTCTAGTTTAATGAAAAGGAGGATTAGGGGAGACACGATAGCAGTGTTTCAATATCTCAGGGTTGCCACAAAGAAGAGGGAGTTAAACTATTTTCCAAAGCATCGGAGGGTAGGACAAGAAGCAACGGGTGGAAACTAATCAAGGAGAGAAGCAACTTAGAGCTGAGGAGAAATTTCCTGACAGTTAGAACAATTAATCAGTGGAAAAGCTTGCCTCCAGAAGTTGTGAATGCCCCAACACTGGAAATCTTTAAGAAGTTATTGGATAGCCATTTGTCTGAAATGGTACAGGGTTTCCTGCCTAGGCATGGAATTGGACTAGAAGACCTCCAAGGTCCTTTCCATCTCTGCCATTGTATTGTATTGTGACAAAAAGACTCATACATTTAACACCCATTTAACAAATGTCTCACTTAGCAATAGAAATTTTGTCTCAATTGTGGTTGTAAATCAAGGACTACCTGTATGTATCCATAAGTAGCATTTTAATTTGCTGTGGTAGTTGCTTTTCCTTATCTTGTACAATAGGTTGCATCTGATGACCTAAATGATGTATTGCAAATTTATGATTTAATAATATTTTGTTCATAGTTTCTCTTGGCGGTTGAAGTATTAGCTCTCTGTATGTACCTGTCCTTGACAGTAGCAAGCTCATCATAGTCATGTTTAGTGAAGCAGATTTTACAATTCTAGCAGAAAGGAGATTGATTCAAAAAATGCATTATAAAGAGGGTAAAGCTTACCACTTAACTAACTATGCCCTATGAGGAGATAGGTCAAAGAACCTGCTGCTGTGAGCATGTATACCTCATGAAAAAGGCAAGTGGTATGATCTTAATTTAGCAATATCACAAAATGAAGGATAGCGTAATAGTCAGAGTGAACACATAGTAACTTCTTGACTCTACAGGTGACATCTGAAGAGTTACAGCCCTTGGATCACAGCTCCAACAAGTTATTTTTGAGCTTTACTTCAACTTGAAAATCAGTCAGTGTGATTCTGGTGATTTATAGGTCTGTTACTAAACTGTTGTTCAAGTATTCAACAGAAAGGTCTACTTGTCTTTCATTGTTAATAAATAGAGATTTACACTGACATTAATTATATGTTATCTTCCTTTACCTTATTTGTCAGCAGGTAAATCAAATAGGAAAGGAGTGGAAAAGGCAAGCATATTGAATAAACTCTATTTTATAATCCAAGTATAGTAGTTTTATTATAATACAAAAGCAGTAGCTATTAAATAGAAATCATATTGATTTGCATATAACAAATCAAATTTGCCTCTTGCAAATTTTGGAAATAAGCTTGTAAAGGAGTTATCAGTCCCATAGTATATCATACATAGTCTAGTATTAACTAGAGACAATGCTTTTTTTTTCCAAATGTCCCAAATCATACTGAAAAACAGTATGGTTACAATAGTTATTTCTGCAAAAATGCAAGTTTTGAAATAATATTCAAAGATATTTATGAAATATCGATATGCTAATATTTGATCCCACCAGAACATCAAAAATACAAGCCTACAATACATTTTGAATATAACAAAAACTATCACACATTGATTTTTTTAAGACTGTTGCAGAAAATATTTTATGCACATTCATGCAAGGTCAAAAAAATGATGACGACAACCACAACCTCAGAACTGATGTCCTTCTTCTTAAATACAGGATAGACTTCAATCATAAAAGTGGCTGATATATTGACCTTTTTTGATATAACTCTGTCTCCATCAATATTCCTGGCGTCATTTTTCAAGTTGAGGTAGAAATATAGACAACACACAGTCCCAAATCTGACCTTCCAGCATTTTATTGTTTATGGTTAACATGTGCAACCTTTTGATTCAGTGGACACTTTGACATTTTGTTAGCTGTATGAGTAGAGATAGTAAGGAACAACCACAACTGTGAAGATACTTCTCCTTTCCAACATTCCTGAGTCTCAAAACAATTGCTCTAACCAAAGCTGTATTTTATCTATATGCTAGAAAGGAAAACAACGGTAAAAAAATTCAAAACAAAGCACCAGAAGTGCAACTCATCATATTTATTATATGAAAAAGGCTTGAAAATTACTTATGGCCCAGACTCATTCTTATAAATTCAGACAATACTTGAAACAACGCTACTGAACCCCTTTTAATTTAAAAAAATGTATCAAAAAGGGGATCTGAAAGATATTAAGGAAATTTATAGATACTCATAGGAATTGACTTATTTAAAGAGATTGATCCTTATTTACAGTAATTGACAGGAGCTAACCAGGTTTTCATACCATAGTAACTTTCTAGCCAAAATTAGAAATGCTAAGCTTTGAATCAGGGAACACAAACTAGGATAGGATAGGATAGGATAGGATAGGATAGGATAGGATAGGAGTTGTAAGGGACCTTGGAGGTCTTCTAGTCCAGCCCCCTGCTTAGGTAAGAAACCCTATACCATTTCAGTCAAATCGTTATCCAATCTCTTCTTAAAAACTTTCAGTGTTGGAGCATTCACAACTTCTGGAGGCAAGTTGTTCCACTGATTAATTGTTGTCAGGAAATTTCTCCTTAGTTCTAAGTTGCTTCTCTCTTTGATTTGTTTCCACCCATTGCTTCTTGTCCTACCCTCAGGTGCTTTCAAGAATAGCTTGATTCCCTCTTCTTTGTGGCAGTTCCTGAGATATTGGAACACTGCTAACATGTCACCTTAGTCCTTCGTTTCCTTAAACTAGAAAGTCATTTATTAAACAGGCCCATTTTTGCCTCCCAAACCCTCTGTTTTTGGCCTCCTGAACCCTCTATGTGTCCCGTTTTTGTCAAAACAGGGTTTGACCTGCAGAGTGCTTCTGGAAACCAGGGAAGGCAAAACGGGATGCACAGAGGGTTCAAGACGCAAAAACCAGGCCCATATTCAGTCTATAAAACACACAGACATTTCCACCCACTTTTGGGGGGGGGCAGAGTGTGTCTTATAGTCTGAAAAATATGGTACATGACTGTTACTTTCTCTTTGTAGTCCAGCTTCATGTTCAATTTCCAGGATGATTAACAGATCAATAGGAAATGATGTGTTTTTTACACAAGACAATTACTTATCATTCAAAGTAGAGAGAGTCCTGAACTTACAACCACAACTGAGAGCAACACCTTTTTTGCTATATTTGTATTGAGTTTGCCTCATTTTAAGATCTTTTTGCTACTGTTGTTAAGCAAATCACTGCAGTCATAGAGTGAATCTGGATTTCCCATTGACTTTGCTTTCAGAATTTTGCTGGGAAAGTTACAAATGATGATCATGTGATCCTCCCCTCCCCCCAGGGAAGTCATAACTGCCAGTTGCCAAGCATCCGAAGTTTGATCATGTGACCATGCAGATGCTGGAACAATCGTAAGTGTGAAAACCAGTCATGCTACTTTTTTCAGGATTGTTGTATCTTTGAATGGTCGCTAAATGAATGGTTTCATATTAGTGGTCTGCGAGATTTAAAATTATAAATTTAGTGGTCCCTGAGGTCAAAGAAGTTTGTGACCCCTGGACTAGATGACCTACAAGGTCCTTTCCAACTTTATTATTCTATTCAACAGTATTTATGGTGAAACTCTTATCTCTCAGGGCTGAGACATCTTTTACATACTGGTCTGGCTCCTGGCTCCTGGCTCCTGGCTCCCGGCTCCCGAGGTCGTTTTATTGATGACAAGGTTTAGCCATTTTTAAGAAATGAAGCCTGGTTTTTCAAGCCTTATCTAGAATAATCATATTTTCTTTTTTAAAAAAATTAAAGACAAATCTGAAAAGGGGCAAATCTTTAAGGGGATACATAATGATTTCTTTTAAAAAAATATATTGATAACTTTGTTTTACAAAAGAAAAGCTCAACAGCAAAAATAATAATTAAATCCAAAGAACAGCTTTCAGAAATTAAGGACTGTTCTTTTTAATAAAAGTATTATGGTAATAAAAGGACCCATGCTCCACATCGAACAGAGTAAAACAACCCATGTTGATTTAAAACAAAAGTTTCCGGCCACTATTAGGAAAAGTGGTACTTTATATTTTTAATGCCAGCCTGTGCCAGCCTGCTTTCTCTTTGTTTTAGTGTAAAGCACCCCCCTGAATATAGATGCGAAAGAGGGACCGCAGCCGAGTCACCCACAAGGGCAACCTTCCCGGCCGCTTCGCGCGTCGCTCTTCCGCCCTCAAGCGGCCACCGCGTTCGCCCACCCGATCGTCAGGTAGGCGGGAAGAAGCGCGCAACTCCACCCCGTTTCCACAGCTTCAGCGCTTGGACCCTATCAGCGAGCGAACGAGGGGCTGGGCGGAGCAAGGGGAAGCGGAGCTCGGCTCGGGTTCCCTCTTTTTCTCCGGCCGGCGACCTGCAGTCTGGGTAGTTGCGGTGTGGCAGCCTGCTCGCAAGGTTGCTAGCGGGGAATGCTGTTGACAGCACTTCCCGCGCGGTCTCTGCTCTTCCCCGAGCGCTCCTGAGCGGAGTTGTCGGCCTTCCGCACTGTTCCCCTGGAAAGAGGCGGGCAGGAATTAAAGGTAAGAGGAGAGGCTGAAATGCGGTGGTCGGGCCTGAAGAGCGGAGCCGAGGGAGCGAAGGGCGAGGCACTTCAGGTTCGGCAAGGATGGAAAAGTGGCGAGGCGCGTATAATAGTCTTTAGAGATAGGGTGCAAATACAAAACGCCGCGTGGAGTACAAAGGGCTGAAATGTTGCTGTAGAGGCATTTTGACAGCAAGGGTATTGAAACCGAAGAAACTGCGCTTATTTCAGTGGGGCTGCTTTAGTCTGATGTCTTCCGGGAGTGTTTTATCGCAAATCCTATCGCCCCCAAGCAATGACGAATTTTGTTACTGTCGAGGGAATATTGGGGGGGTCCCAGTTTGAGCGGGGGTTGCGCAAGAGCAAATCGGAATGAAATCCAGATACGCTCTTTGGAAGGGAAAAAATTTATTCGAGTATGTAAAGAAAACCCTCGGAGTTAAGTTATAAATGGGATATAAAGACCAGGTATTTTTATAAAGAAAGCCGTTTTTTGGGAAGGGATGTAGGATGTGAGCCTGTACTACGTGTCTTTTATAATATTTAATTTGGTGAATGTGTAATATCAGCGGGTAAAGGATTTTAATACACTTCTCATATTGCAAACTTCTGTTTTTGCTGTTTTGGGCAACTCGTTTGTGGGTTCAAGGAAGAACCAAGGAAGAATGTGTAAAAGATTTACCTGTTTGCTATTATTTGTGCAGGTTGGTTAGTTTGGTCACTAATTACCAGAAGTGGATTGATGATCTTTGTAATACGACTCTCTCTCTCTTTCCTGCCATCCAATTTTATTTTCCTATAGGAAAGACCTAAGGAATAAATTGGTTTCAAAATTGGTCTTAGTGTCATTCTCTGTGCTGCTGAATTCGATTTTGCTCTTTCTTGTAGTAGCCTTTTCATCTTTGAATAACCAGAATGGGCCTAATTGTGCCATAAGTTTCATATTTCCCAACCAGTTTGGTCAGGACGTGCTAACTGAATGGTAAACACTGTAGCTTAATAATCTAAATCTGCCCCGATTGGTGTGTTTGGGTTGATCTACCTATTAAGCCTAATGTTATTAATTATCACTATAGGTAGGTTCATATGAGATTAAGGGTGGGAGTTGTTTCATATAACAATGCTTAGAGCAGTGTTTTTCAACCACTGTGCCGTGGCACACTAGTGTGCCGTGACATAGTGTAAGGTGTGCCGTGGGAAAAACACTTTATATATAGTCAATATAGGCACAGAGTTAAATTTTTTTAACATTTTCTAATGGTGGTGTGCCTCGTGATTTTTTTCATGAAAAAAGTGTGCCTTTGCACAAAAAAGGTTGAAAAACACTGGCTTAGAGAGCAAGAATATCCAAATAATCAACTTTTCTATATACCCTGAGATGTCAGTGCATTCATGGCAGGGAAAAATAAGTTAATAGAGAGGTATCAAACTTGGGGCCTGCCGGCTGGATGCATCACATACTGGCCGCCCCTAGCCCCGGTTTAGGGAAGGGGGAGAAAGTTGTGATATGCCACGTCATGATGTGTCATCGCAAGTTTGACACCCCTGAGTTAGTATGTCAGCAGTTGCAATGATGGATATGTTACGTTTGCAGATTGCAATACTAAAACAGTTAAACAGGCATAAAAATATTGCAAACTCTCCTTCCAGGGTAGAAATATGTCACACCTGAAGACATTTTTAAAAGTTTGCTCATGTGGAAGATGAGAGAATAGGATTTTTTTTTTCAGAACCAGGAAGACACACAATTCATTCCATGTTTGAAGTGGATATTTGCCAAGCTGAAATGAAAGAATGCTTCCTGGAGTCATAGTTATAGAAAAAAGAATAGCTGTATTATGCCTCCATTGCATTCCATAAAAGATGCTCCACCTTGAGTGACATGATAAAAAGACCCTTATAAGTTTTAGTAAAAGAAATATCCTTAAATGTTTTATATATGTCTTAACGTGGCAAATGATTCTGTGCAATTATCTGAACATTATGTTAAATGTTGAATCATAAATTTATGCAGTTGATTTGTGCCTCCCTGTTTCTCTTCTCTTTATCTAAAGGAGATAAAAGCTGCATGCATTTTTAAAAATCCATTAGTGCCCTTGTAATGAAATACCTTTAAAAAAAAATTTAAAATTTTTTTTGCACTCCAGGTTGATCTCTTTCCCAACAAGATCATAAACATATAGGAATTTTCTCTTACATGCGCGCTCACATGCATGCACGTGCGCACGTGCGCGCGTGCGCGCACACACACACACACACACACCAACATATTGTACCCTTTGTTTCTGAGTATAAATGCATTTTGTTTATATTACATTTGTTTGGAAGGGATCCGTCCAGCCCATCCTTGTCATGAGAGCTGAGTCCCCTCAGGGAAAAGGGCGGCCTATAAATGCTTAATAAAATGAGAAAAATGAGAGCTAAAGATTAATTAATATTCATTAATTAATGATTATTCAACTTCATTGCTGACTGTATTTTTCCTCTGTTTATTCATCTGTAACCAATGTAAAGTAAAATAATGGTTCCTCTGTTCCTCAGGAAATGGCGTCTCCAAAATCCTTATTGAATATTCTGACCTTCACTTTTGGATCGGCAATTGGTTTTTTCCTATGTTACTTACTGTTTAATTTAAGATTAGATGAACAAATCAAGGTTGAGCCTCACATTCTTCATAATGATCCTCATGGCCATCATTCAGATAATGATGAAAACAATAACCTGAAAGGACAAATGAATTTCAATGCTGATGCTGGGCAACATAAAGGTATTTATATGTTCTACGTGGAGCACTTTTTATTTTTATTTTTTATTTTTTCTACATAATAAGTATCATAACCTGAAAGAAAGACTTTAAATAAAAATTTTATGGTCATGTTTTAAATGATCCATTGCCCAAAACAGAGCTGATCTAAAATATGCAGGTAGTCAGTTAAGGAGCACCCACTCAGAAACTTTGAAGTTACGATGACATTGAATGAGTGGTAATTACTTACGGTCTTTGAAGTTCTAGCCATTGCAGTACCCCTGTAGTTACATGATTGTGATGGTTTCAGTGTCTCACAATCACAAGATCACTGTTTGTGACCTCCCTTGCCAGCTTTTGCCACAAGCAAAGTCAATGGGAAAGCTAGTAAGAAAGGTCAAAACTGGTCCAGTAAGTGGTTTCCACTGCTTTTTCTCCTGAGAAGTATACTACAGGATCTCATATACTGTACTGCTCACCCACCTGCAGTCTCCTCTTCCCGCGGTCCATAATTCATTCCTGCTTTTTTTAAAAAAGTTTTTTTTTTAATTTTTATATAAGTAACCACAAGTATACCATTATATCTTAACATACGCTGTTTTGTGTTATCCAATATTATATCAATTCCGCTTAGCATCAACCCACAACTACTATCATTTGCTCTTCCACCATATTATGCACTATTTCACAGCCGCTCTACCTTTTCCCTTTCTCCTCCTCCCTTCTTCCTTTCTTCTCTCTACCATCCCTCTCTTCTCTACTTCCCCTTCCTCTGTCCTTCTCTTTCCACTCCTTCTATCTCTCCTACTTTTCTCCTTCTAATTCCCTGATTCTATCTTTCTAATTCCCTGATTCTATCTACCTTTTCTCTACCTTTCTCCCTTCCACTTTCTCTGCTTGGTTTACACGGTGTATTTCCGTGTCCGAGCAAACTCCATTTAATATTGATGGTGTAATAGTTATATTCCAATAAACATCTTTCATATTAATAATTTTACGCACATACTCCTTTTAAGAGTATACATACATAAGAATTCCATTGCCCCCCCCCCCCCAAGTTTATTTTTTGGATAAAGTGTGAGCTGGGTTCAAGTTTCTAGCTATCCTCATAATACATTCCTATTTTTGTGTGGTGCTGCAGTACCCCCTTCGCATCTGGTCAAATTTATGCTGAATTGCACTAAGCCCTTTTCTACTTGGCTGCACTCCTGTGTGCCATTCCACTCCATCCTTTGCCCCCTCAGAATTGTTTATATTACTCATTTTTGTGAAAATTAAATTGAATAACATATCTCCTCATACCTTCCCCAGATGAAAATAAAAATATTGCTGAAGACTTGTACCAGAAGGTAAGAATACTTTGCTGGGTGATGACAGGTCCCCAAAATCTGGAAACAAAAGCCAAACATGTCAAAGCTACTTGGGCCCAGCATTGCAACAAAATCCTATTTATGAGCTCTGAGGAAAACAAGAACTTTCCAACAGTAGGATTAGAAACCAAAGAAGGCAGGGACCACTTATACTGGAAAACTATTAAAGCTTTCCAGTATGTACATGAACATTATTTTGATGAAGCAGATTGGTTCATGAAGGCAGATGATGACACTTACGTTGCACTGGACAATTTGAGATGGCTCCTCTCAAAATACAATCCTGAAAAACCCATTTATTTTGGGCGAAGATTTAAGCCTTTTGTAAAACAGGGCTATATGAGTGGTGGGGCAGGATATGTGCTTAGCAAAGAAGCTCTGAAAAGATTTGTGGATGCCTTCAAAAATAACAAATGTACTCATAGCTCTTCCATTGAAGACTTAGCATTAGGCAAGTGTATGGAGAGCATTAATGTTGAAGCTGGAGATTCTCGGGATACAAGCGGCAAGGAAACCTTCCATCCATTTGTGCCAGAACATCATTTAATCAAAGGATACCTTCCCAAAAACTTTTGGTACTGGAATTACAACTATTACCCTGCTGTGGAGGTAAGTTTTATTATGGGGGTGGTTATAAATATTATTGTTTATTAGATTATTATTTATTAGTGGTTATTAGAAATGTTTTAACTGTTGAACTTCTGTAGTTGCTTTTTTACATCAGCTACAGGATCCATGTAGCCTTATTATGACATCTAGGACATTACCATGGCTTAAGGCATAAATTTTACTATTTCACATCTGTTTTAAAAATGGGAGATATTTGAGCTTTATGCATGGAAACTCCATCATACTACGTTTAATATTTCCTACTTCTAAGAATACCCTGGAGAGCATCCATATGTGGAAGAGATTGAAATACCATTTTCCTGACGTGAGTCTACTATATCGTTACAAAACAGTTGTATACAATTCATATTTAGAGACAAAATACAAAACAAATATTTTCAGAAACAACATGTTTTTTTTCTTTGTAAACACAGGACAGAACCATTATGATTGAAGTCATCTGATCTGCATTTAATTAACTATAAAACATGACTGTTTTCTTTGTTGCCTTTTGATTTTGTTCTTTTTTCTTTTTCTAGGGCCCTGCTTGCTGTTCTGATCTAGCAGTTTCTTTTCACTATGTAGATGCTACTACTATGTATCATTTGGAATACTTGATTTATCATCTTCGTCCTTACGGTTATCAATTCAGATACAATCCTGATGTCCCAGAAAAACAAAATTTAAGTGAGGCTACAAAAGGTGGTATCAAACTCAAAGCTGAAGAAAATCTTCCAAAGCTTCTAAATAAGGGGTTGCTCAGCTAACAGTGGCAAAATGAATTTCCTAAGTGTATTTCCAAAGTATTCTTTTGTATCCTTTTCTAATATGCTGGTACATTTTTTCCATATGCCAAGGGACTGCATGCAGTACTTCTATCAAAGCTTTACTTTACTGACACATAGACTCAATCTGTACTTGAAACAAATACTTTTGTTTTTTTTCACACATGGACTTTCAACATTGTCATCCTTTTGCATTAGGATTTGAATGTATTATTACCTTTTTCTAACAAAAAATTCACTCTCTCTGCTTTGTTAAATCAGAAAATGATGAAAACATTCAAGTATGCATATGAAGAAAACACTTAATGCCATGAAATCATCCAAAAAAACCTGCAGCATCAAAAACGACGGCAAGAGGCCAAATTTAAATAACATTTTCTTAACAGCTTGAAGACTTTTATTGCAATTTTTGTATCATAGCCAGAATGTTTCCATATAATGAAGTCTTAATGGTATCCAAAAGACAGGTGCAAATATCGTTAGTAGATATGTGTGAATATAATTCAGTTATTAGAAAGATTGTTGTCTAAGCAAACAAAATATTTCTTGATATTACTGTTTTTCATTTGCTTTGTTTCGCTGTTTTAACTTCCTCTGGAACATGAATTATTATATGAACTATTCATTAGAAATAGCCTTCTTTAAGTTTCATTCTAAATATTCCGAACTGGATTTGTTTATATTAGAATATTAAATAATGTTGTGAATTTAGTATTTTTAGCTGTTTCTACTTTGCATTTAGAGTTAAATACTTTTTAATTAATCTTCACTAATATCTTGGTAACAAATTTTGACAATTACATTTTTTTCTTTCTTGTTTTTCAACACAACAAGAAGATCAGTATTAGGAATAGGAAAACATGTTGAGTTTCAAATACACAATTATAGATAGCTACTGGATAAAATGGATGTCATTAGGACCACTCAAAAAGTGTTGAAACTTGAAATATTTCTCATGTCACTATATACTATGAACTGATAGAATTACTTTTAGTACTACAGATGTGTAGATTTCTGCTTTTGTCACAGTCAAAATTATTTCATTTTTTCCCAAAAGAACCCCTTCAGGTTATTTTATATATTACATCAGATATTGATGTTTTTTAGATAATTTTGTAAATAAAGGGACACTACCCTGACAAAAACCCAACATCATATTTGGTTCCAAGAGTTAAAATTTAAATAATTTTTTTCAAAGTTTCTAAATTTTAGTTTTTTTTCTCCCTCTCCCACCTTAGATATTCAGTAAAGTGAGATATCAGAAATGGTGGCCGAATGAAAAGTGTAAATATTGTTACTGTATTTCTTTAAATATGATTCAAAAATTGAAATTGTAGTTCAAGCCAAACAAAATTTTATTTCTTCAGATACTGTTTTGATTTTCTTTTCCTGTCTAGATCTGGGATGATGAACCTATGGCACGCATGCCACAAGTGGCACGTGGAGCCATTTGTCAGGACACGCGAGGTGTTGCCCTGTTGCATGCGCACGCTGGCCAGCTGAGCTCAGGTTTTTTAAAAGCCATTTTTCACCCTCCCAGGCTCCAGAAGCCTTGGGTTCTTTATAGAAGCCTGGGTAGGTCGAAAATAGCCCCCCGCAGGTGTTCTGGAGGCTTCAGGAGCTTCCCTGAAGTCTCCCGAGTGCAAAAAACTGGCCCTATGGACAAACTGGAAGTTCGGAAACGGACTTCCGATTTGCTTGTAGAGTCGGTTTAAGCCCTCTGGAGGCTTCAGGGACCTTCAGAAGGCTTCCCTGAAGGCTCTGGAGGGCTTAAACCAGCTCTACAAGCAAACCGGAATCTGGTTTGCTCATAGGAACATTTTTAGTCCTTCGGAGGCTTCAACGAAGTCTCCTTAAGGTCCCAGAAGCCCACGGACTCAACGAACCGGAAGTGACTTCCGGTTTGCTCGTACGGTCCTTTTTAGTCCTCTGGAGACTTCCTGAATGTCCCTGAAGCCTCCGGAGGGCTTCCGAGGGGGCTGTTTTCGCGCTCCCCAGCTCCTATAAAACCTCTGGAGCCTGTGGAGGGCGAAAAAAACATACAAAAAATGTTGAGAGCGCCTCAAGTGTGCACGCGCACTGGGGGGTAGCGCTTAGCATTATGGGTGCACCACACCTGCACACGACCCCCTGCCCTCCCACCTTATGGAACACGAGCCAAAAAAACTGTGCCATCACTGCTCTAGATATTGGTTTCAACTGGAATTCATTAGAAATAGATTTCTCCTTTTATCGTGAGGCTGAAAATGATTTCAATTTTCTCTAAATATATTACTTTCTATATATTAAAAATTTTACGTGTATATATTAGGATGTTTAGTAATGGAGCTGATTTAATAATTTAATTTTTAGCTTTCCCTAGTTTTTATTTTTCTTTAGATGCTTTTTAGTTAATCTTCACTAACATTTTGATTACAACTTTTGACAATTGATTTTTTTCCCTTCCTTGTGTACATTTCAAGCCACCGATAAGTTCAGTATTGGGGATAAATAAATGTTTTGAGCTTCAAACATGCAATCATAGATTGCTCCTGAATGCAACGAATACACTTTAGACCACTCAAAAAGTGTTTTGAACTTGCAATATTTTACATGTCACTATTTACAAGAACTGTGGTAGAATTTCTTTTCTAGTGTGAATGTGTATATTTTTCCTATTTTTATCATAATCCCCNGGAGAGGGAAGATGAGAGAAGTGGAGAAGAGGAGAAGGAAAGAGAAGGAAGAGGGGAAAGGAGGAGATGAGTAGGAGAGGGAAATGAAGAAGAGGAAAAGGGAGGAGAAGAAAGGGGAAAGGAGAGAAGGATGAGGAGAGGAGTAGGAGAAAGGGAAGTAGAGAAGAGAGAGAAGGGAAGGAAGTAGAAGAAAGGAGAGAGATAAATATAAACAATGTTATACAATTATAAAAATAATGCCTATAAATATGACGTACAACATTATTTAAAAGAGATTATAAATGTATGATTGAGAATATTAGTTATAAACCGGGTGTATAAAACTATGTGTACTCAAAAAGGACTAGATACAGCCAGTACATTGCTGATGCAAAACTGGAAATGTGATGTATTATTTTTAAAAAATGTACAATAAAAAATTTATTAAAAAGAAAAAAAGAAAGAAAACATCTAAAATTTTGCAAAACTCCTGCCATTGGTTGGCAAGGAATAATACAGGGACGGTGATTTGAATCCGAGTAAAACAGCTTCCGATATTATTCAATAAAAGGCATCCTTTTCAGAAATTAACAGTACAGGTAGTCCTTGACTTATGACCACAACCTGAGTCCAAAATTTCTGTTGCTAAGTGAGGCATTTGTTAAATATTTCCCCCCATTTTCTTGTCCCAGTTGTTGTGAATCACTCCTGTTAACCCGATTGTTAAATGAATCTGGCTTCCCCCATTGACTTTGCTTGTCAGAAGGTGTTGTGGCCCAACAGCTGCCAGCTGAGCTTTTTCCACTGCCGTGGAATCTGGCAGTGATGAGCACTATGGGGCTGTCCTGGAGGCTGAGGAAGACTCTGGGGAGTGTTCGGAGTCAGAGCAAGGACTAGAGAGTCCTGTTGGCCACCAGGTGG